ATATATATACACACAGTATATATATGTTTACACTGGATCTGAGAACCAATTCATCCAGTTTATCCCAGAAAGAAACAACCAGGAGGTATGGAATCAATCTTGTGCCAGCAGGAGTAGAATTAGAATTACTCAGAGTGAATCTGAATGTTCATAATTTAAATTGAATTCATTGGTTTGAAAATGAATTTTACTAAATTGAAACTGAATTTAAAGTTTTGTATTTGAATTAATTTGCTTTGAAACTGTATTTTAGTTTATTAAAAATTCAGTGTGACTACTTTCACTTTCAGTTCCATAATTCAGATTTTTGTGTCACATCCTGGTCCTTGAGAAAGCCAGGCAGAGTAATCAAACACAGATCCACAGATTTATGTTTCACTTTGGTGAAGTTTCCCTTCTGTATGTAACAGAGTTGATGCAATCCACTGTAAAAGTGACAAAAACACACAAAGTTATTTTATTGCAGTGATTAATTTGACCTATATGTAGAAAATGTTACATTTACAGGGGCATTGGCCCCATCTGAAGTGCCCCTGTCCTGTCACTCACCTGTCCTTTGCCCAAGAGTGGCTGCAGTTCCACTACCAAACAGTAGTGGCGCTAATGAGTCAAATAGGAAAGTCCAGCATGAAGCAAGCTGACGCAAATCTTTTTTAATTTGAATAATCCTGCAGAAAAAGTATTTTAACGATGGCTGGATTTTATCACATCTTGTGTGTTTGAGAGTATTTTACTTATGTACAGTAAAAATGCATGTAAAATTGATAAGGAGAATTTGCAGTTTGAGTTTTTACAAGTGTCTGAACACGTGTGACTGATTAAATTCATACACCTTACTAAAACGGGATTTGTGTGCAAGCATGTTGAACAAATACTTGGCCCCTCTATGAATCCTGCGGCCCCTTTAAGGCTCCGTATGCTGAAAAATCCTAGATCCGCCACTGGCACAAAGACGTGAAAACATCTCAGTTTTGAGAAGCAGGAGGGGAACTGTGCGTGGGCCGGAGAGGCTTTCCAGGACCTACCATGGACTTGAGCGCAGGCAGGCGTTTCTGCCAGCAGATGTAGATGAATCCAGACGTGATGATGATCATGCACACAGCGCCGATGATGACCAGGACCACGAACAGTTTGCCGTAGTCGCTGCGTGTTTTACTGGGCCGAGACTGACAGCTGGTCGCTGCGCTGTAGCTCTGGATCCCCACCTGAACACAAACACAACAGGGGCGGAGCTAATAGGTGGCCAAATGAAACAAATAAAAATAAATACTCTGGATTTTAAAATTCAAGACAGTTTAGCCACAACTAACTGATTACTCAGCCAGTTTTAGACTTAGAAAGCTAAACAATCTTTATCAAATTCTATGCTGATCATAAATTCAAGATGGCCGCCACAGATTACTTTAAAATGCTATAAGTCAACCTTTTTCAGACTTATTGAAATTAACACTTTAACAGTTTTTGTTCCACTGGTGGGCAAAAACGATGCTCTTTCTGTCTTTAAATGTTTCTAAGATGATTATAATTCAGCCAACTTTAAACATACACAGCAGAAAATGTATTTACTACAGTAATATCAAAAATAATCTTTAACAATACCTAAATGCTGATCAAAAATTCAAGATGGCCGCTACAGATAACTTTGAAAGGACATAATTCCACCATTTTCAGGCTTGTTAAATTTATTGTGGAGTATGCAGATGCTAATCCCATATTAAGCTAAACACTAATGCTAATTATAAATGCAAATAAAAATCCAAGATACCTCTGCATGTGTCAATTATTTTGGTTTGGCACCTGGGGTGGTCAGCCAGGTGCCAGAGGTGGCGCCCCTCTGGCTCCGCCCCTGACACACACATGACTGTTCTAACTTAATTGTTGCTTCTTATCTGAGAAGTTTTCTCAATTCAGACTCATAAATGTGGAGTTCCTGCTCTGACTCTGCAAACTAAACTCACAGGCAAATCACTCTCCCTCCCCTCCCTCTTGAAGGTTCTTACATCTTACAAGCCTCTGATGGTTGGTGACAAGTTGGAGACACAATTTTACAAAAACATCTGCAGTTTATTTGACCTGGAATCATGCATAACACCTGGGGCCTCATGTACAAAGACTTGCGTGAACTTCTTACTGAAACCTGGTGTTTCATCAATCAAGCGAATCACATGGATGAGACCGTTCCATCGGTCATGGTTCTGCTTTGGGTGGACTGGACTGACACAGTCCGGATCAGTCTGTCAGCTCCCTCTGGAAAGCTCCTGTGGAACCCCAGTTTGATCACAGCTGCTGCTGCACACGTGGTGCACGGCTCCTCACTGTGTCGCTCCAGAGCGCAGCGGTGCCAAACTGAAAGGATTATTCCTGAAAACAGCTGAGGAGCCACTCGTCATTGTGGATTACAAAATTCTGTTTATAAATAAAATCTCTGTGTGTTACACTTTTTATTTTATCCTCCAGTAAGGCTGAATCCGTTCCTGTAAAATGCATTTTTGGCACAACTTTGCGCATCCTTTATTTAACTGTGTCCATGTGGATGTAATAATTAATCATGTGGATGTAATAATTGTTAAAGGGATCCATGATTAGTTGTAACATTAGACTTTATTTGATAAAAATATTTTGACTGTAAAATAAAGACTGTAAAAATACTGTAGGCTGTTTAGTTTTGTACATTTTTAAAAATATATTTTAACACGGACAGGGCCATTTTATTTCCACGCAAAGCATTCTGGGTAAATGATGACGTGGATAGGTCCTCGATGCGAGGCTGCTAGCGAGCTATATCCACCCTGAAGGTTAATCTTGGATTAAGTTAGTTATTGGGGCGGCTGTGGTGTAGTGGTAAAGCAGCCGGCTTTAGGACCCGCAAGTCACAGGCTCTACTCCCCGCCATGCCCACATGCCGTTGTGTCCTTGGGCAAGACACTTCACCCACCTTGCCTACTGATGGTGGTCAGAGGGTCCGGTGGCACCTGTGCATGGCAGCCTCGCCTCTGTCCCCCAGGGCAGCTGTGGCTACAATTGTAGTTTGCCATCATCAGTGTGTGAATGTGAGTGTGAATGGCTGTAAGTGTAAAGCACTTTGAGTGTCCTGGATGGATAGAAAGGTGCTATACTGTGTAAGTACAGTCATTTACCATTTAATCTTGGACAATATCTGATGATCGACTCTTTTAAATGAAACCAGAGAGCGTTGACAGAGAGGAGAAGGTAGAAATGACAAAGTCTGTAACTGAAAATATCTATGGATGGAGGACAACAGAGCTGCTTCATGGAAGAACCTCAGCTTAGCCTGTTAGCTTTAGCATTATAAAATAA